TCCTTTCATTGTTAAAGTGTTGTAGACAGGGGTCCCAAATCATCGTCTCTTCCTCAATATTTCATTTTAGCTAGTCCATATTGTTGTTGTGTGGTGAGTAGGGAAAGGTTAGGGGATAATAAGATTTCATTTGAGGTCCATTTCAATAACTTACTAGCCCTGCTGCTTTGGGGTATCCAGTTGGCATCTTTGATCATAAAAATCTTCATGGGCTTGTGAGGATAGTAAAGTATTCAGCTCAGTGTCTGATACACCAGAGCAGTCAATATGGCAGCCATTGTGCCAAGTCTAAAAGCAACTTCTTTCCTTTCTAGCAGAAGGTCCCTGATATCTTTCCCATGGAAGAAGAATTGATGAGGTTTATTCTACCCTAAAGGAAGATTCTTAATTATCATTATGCCAACTGTCATACACTAGACCCCTTTAATTTTATAGTCATCTGAACAAAAACTTCTCTTAAAATCCTGTGGAATAAAATTAGAAATTTTAGAGACATACCCAGCTGTAAACTAAATCAATTTTATTCAATAAACATTTATCAAAAATCTACTATATTCTCTCAAATAGTCCATGGTAAAAAAAAAAAAAAAAATTAAAATAAACAACCAATATGCATAATTAAACATGGTTTGCTAAATGTTTTAAAAGAGATGTTTGCACAGTAAGCAACTGCCTAAGGAGAACCAATTAGTATAGATTTGGGTCCTGGCACTTCTCCATTTCTAAAGAAATTGGGAACACATTCACTATTTATACTAATCTAAATTAGGAGATGTCTCTCTAGTATAGGCCATATGCTACATTAGCAATCAGATTTTGTTAAAATTTTCAGACATGCAGAGATCTTAAAATAGTCTCACTCAAAGACATATGTTTAATCAGATTGGAGTTTACCAACTCATGTCTTAAAAAATTAAACTGACAACCTAGAATAAATTGATTTGACAGCTGATGAAATATTTCAAATTTTTTGTTTTTATTTTTATAGCACAGTCTTCAAAATGGTTTTTATCTTCCTTTCACATAAATTAATTAATTAATTAATTAATTAATAATATTCTTTATCCTAGAATTTTTAAGTAAGTAATCCTGTCATTTATATATACTATTTATAAAATTGAGCTCCTCTAGAATTTTTCTTTCCAATATACATAGCTTATGAATGAAATGTATCTTAAAAATGCCATCTTGGGACAGCAATGCCATTTGTTGGAAAACAATAGTAATCATCGCCTTGATTTTATCCTGAGGAATACTTGTGGGGAAAAGAACAAAGAATTCAAATTATTTTCAAGAAGAAAATGTATACTGTTATGGAAAAATATTAATTATTTGAGAGACAATAAAGATGCATAATACATGATTTCATGGAACTATCCCCACCTTTATCTCTTCCATAACACAAGTGCACAATGAAAATAATAATCCATTTATTTAGAATATTAATATGTGCTCTTCAGTTTAATTTTAACTTTTTATCTGTTGCTATCAGCCTCAGATGATACAAAGAAAATGTAGTCAATAAGAGAGACACTTCTAACATTCTCTGAAAAGAATAGCAGTACACACATAGAAACTAAAAACCAATGTCCATATCAAAATCATTTTCTCTACAGAGCTCAGCATATTGTTGAACATATTGTAATAAGGCCTGTGGACAGTCACAAATGCAAAGTAATCAGATGACTCTGTTCCTGCTTTATAATCACTTATATTTCATCCTCATCTCAATCTCAGAGATGATTATTGGCAGCAGACTAAGCCAAAGACCCTGAAACAAACATGTTAAAAGATGATGATTACATTTACCTCTTCCTATAAAGTCTTAGTTAGGACTTAAGCTAAAAATGCTTCCCTCCTAAATGTACACAGGGAGGAAAGACAGAATACTGAGTAAGCTATAAATTTCAGCGCTGATGCAGAAAATAAATTATAGAACAGAACTACCAGAAACCTCACATTCCCTGCCAACAAAATGTACTCTTTCGAAAATTATGTGCTTCATTTAGGGGTGATTAAATCTGAAACCAATCCAGTGATTCAATGATAAATAGCTTAATGTCTCGTTGCAAGGGGTGCCTGTAGTTGGAGAAAATCTGGCTTTTAAAAATAGTATTACTTTTCAGTGAGTTTGGTTCCTCACTAATTATACTATATGCTATGAAACAGAATGTTGTCTAAAATGTCAACCATGGCTTTAATCTGACTGGGGAGAGAATTAATTGTTGAACTAAGACTTGAATTAAATGTTAGTTCTATCTTCAAGGCATTTTACAGCATAGACACTAACCGATTATTATGAGACTGCAATATCACCCTACACCTTAAAGGTAGTGTTCTGTGTGATGTTAAAGGGATCTCAAAAATATTTCTGTAATTGAAAATATTCTAAAACGTTAATGCTTTCCAAAATACATGTTTCTGATTATTATAGTCTTAACTTTCCCACTCAATTTAGAGTTAAATTCCTGTGATTTAAATAGCATAAATGAGTTACATTGTATAAACCAGCGATTTTCAAACTTTTTCATCTCATGGTCCAGGTGCACTACTAAAATTCTGCAGCACACCAAGAAAATATATTTTTGCTGATCTGACAAAAAATAGATATAATTTTAATTCATTCACACGAGACAGCTATTGTTGTATTGGCTGTTGTCATTTTTTTTATTGGACAATCTTAGTGCCCCTGATTAAATAGTCAGGTATTGCATGTTTTAAAAATTCTTGCTGCTCACCGGTAGAAAATTGCTGGTATAAACAGATGGGTAAAAAGGTCTAAATTAGCAGATTTACATTTTAAAAACTACAAGCATGAAACAAGCAGAACAATATTATTCAAGAAATATTAGTGAAAATGAAAATAAACTCTCATAACATCTTGGGATAAGACTCTTGTTATTTAAAAATTCTTACAAAGTAAAGTTTCTTATTGAGGAACACATAACATGGGAAAGGAGCAAAACATATGTAGAATCATACAAAGACTCTAAAGCAAAAACAAACATCAAGTCATGTATTAAGATCTTTGAGCAGTGAAAACATTTATGGTCCAAAAACAATTTATCTTAACCAAGAGACAATTACCCACATTCTTGTATAATAATCGATCCTCCCTGGAATAATATTTTAAATTAGACTTTATGATATTTACATTTTGGTATACTAAATATAAAAATAAATTTCTTTAAAATTATGTTTTATTCAAAATTTAAAACACAAAACCTCTCCCATATAAGTTGTTTTAGATTAAATATACAGTAATACCACCATCCATGTTGATAGGTTTGTAATGAAATTGGTAATTACATTAATGGTTCTACACTTTTAATGACTGATAGATTATAATCTCTAATATCCATTTAATTGCAAGAGAAGAGAGCTGGTAGACAGAAATCCTGGAAACAATAAGGAAACCCAGCTTTATCTTTTAAAAAAACCTTTTAAGAAGAATTAACTGCTACTTTTATAAATAAAAAATTAATATGGTAGAACCACACATGTACAAGAGAATATGCCAGGTTAGACGGGACAAGTGTGAGGAATAGACACCACAACACAACAGGCCCCTATGCTCCTCCTTGCCTGGTTGCTTTGGGGGAGAGTCTCCCCCATTTCTGTGAAGGCAGATACTAATGAATGACCCAATTTCAGAAATGTCCATCTGAGATGGGCGGAGGGTCTGTGGTGAGGGAACACTGCTACTGTGACTCAACATAACAGGCAATTAGAATGAGGGACAACTGGGCATTTCTTGTGTCCTTCTGAAGCCTCCTGAAATCAGAGTTTTACACCCCTCCTTTAAGGAATTATAAAAGGTAAAAATTTAGAAGAGAAGCTAGAGAAAATGCTTCCAATCTCCCTGCAGGCCAGTACACTCCTAAACCCCAGTTCCAAGCATGCAGATATATAGAGCACAGATTCTTGACTACATGTGGATGGTTTGGAACTAGTGAGATATATGATATGAGAAATGCTGCGCACTAATGCTCACAGACATGCTACTTAGCATCTCCCACTAACAATTCCTACTTTTTAGACAAGAGATAATATAAGGTTTTATTCCCCAGATTAGGCTAAAATAATAAGAATGTAGATGCATAAACCAGTGATCAAAATACCACCTGGTTGGCAAATATTAACACTTGACAAATGATAATAAGAGTATTTGAAATACTAATTACACAGGGAGGAAAATGGGCTTAACACACAAAGAGATGAATTACCTAAATAAATATCATAAAAATAACATACAAAATGAATAATTTCATAGATTTGGTAACTGATTCTACTTTGATTCTGATATGATCCTCATGTGGCTATTTGAGCATCTGTAATGTGCATATTGAACAAGAGGCTTTAATTTAATTTAATTTACCTACTGAAGCAGAAACCTATCATTTCATAATTAATGATTCTTAAAAACAAAGCAAAAATGCCCTGAAGCTATGCAAAAGTATGGGTCATTGGAAGTGAACTTAGTCCTTCCTCCCATTTAAGGAGGTAGGATCAGTAGCCAGCAGAAATGGATGAAGAGGTTTTTGCCCATGATAGCATCTAAGCCGCGAAGCTGGATACTCAGCTAACATGTTTCCATACTGTAGAAACCACTATGAATCATCGAGTTTTGACCAATCTGGCCAGTTTCACATGTAACCTCCGTTTACCTCTACTCTTTTGATCAATTAGAATAGAGATGGAAGCTCTTGAAGATAACAACCACCTAAAATTCCAAAGGACAAGGATCTATCCAAATCTAAATTAAGTTTCCCAGGGCTACTTGACATTGGACTGGACACTCTAGGCTCATATCTAGCCTCTAGTGATAGATTGATGATGCCTTCCACTTTACTCATCAAGATGTTTTCTTCATACCATTCCAAACTGAGAGTAGAATTTTATTTGAGTAAACACAGAACTTTAAAACAGAAATTTTAGAAAACATAACAAAAATGACATTAGCAACATAAAATTCACTCTGCTTTTGAGCCAACACTGACCTTTTGTTCCAAAAGCAATGTGTTTGTAGGGATTGCTGCAAAAGCCTTGTAGCTTGACTTGGTCTTGTATTGCTAGAATGGGTAACCAGAAAGCAAGAGTGGAGATGAAAAGAGGGAAGAAGATGACATAATTTTAGACTAGTTCTACCAGGTTAAATGACAAGTTATCAAACGAAGAAAACAGTTATTATGCTTGAACAACATGTTTGTGACAGAAAAATTTAGCTCCCTATGTTAATATTTAATTAGAACAAGAAGCAAAGAACTATCACAGTAGTAAAATATCAGCTGGGGATTATAGGCAATTATATGATATGTAGTTTCAGAACTTAAAAGTATCAATCTCTAGAAATTTATATATAAATTTCTCACTAGCAGTTTTCCTCATAGGAGTACTATTCTTTAAATGTCAGGGTTGTTTGTTTGTTTGGTTGGTTGGTTTTCCTTGATTCTCAAAGAAAAGTGATTCTTTTTCATAGTGCCATAATTGTCAAATATTATGCTAATAAATGATATTGAACTCTTGATACATCCTCTTACATCATTCATAAAAACAAAGATCAGTACACATAAAATTTAATACCATTTTAATAAGCAGCATATTTAAAATAGAATTCCATCCATTTAACTCCAAAATGAAAAAACTAGAAAGCTCTAGATGTTAAAATTTATTTGTTAAACCTTATCATCTTCTGTACTTTCTAATATAGAAATCTTAATAAATCAAATGGTAAAATATCTGAGTTTAAAGTACAATGCAGAGTAATATAGTTTATATGTGTGTAGTATTTGGGGAAGAAGCCTAAACATGGGGAAGTTGTAGAAATCAGGATAATATGCAAAATCAAAAGCCCAGCTTTCATATGTTCTGGGTCCCAATCTGCTTAACTCTGTTCAAGGCTTCGGTCACTTCAGAAGCCTCAGTCTGGGACAGCTTCCCCAGGGCTCAGAGTCAGGGGGAAGTCTGTATATAGCTCCCAGCTGCCTCCGTCCACTTAAAAGAAGACGAAAGGGTCTACAGAAGAAGAGAGGACAAGCAAATCAAATAAAACCATGCGTTTTATGATATAATTGAAGTAACGTTCGTTAAACCGTATAGTGAAGGTAAGAGAAATCAATATTCCAGACCTGGAAGAAGTCTCAGGTCCCTTCCAAGCCCTACGTCTCTATATTCACCCTGCACTATTATGGTCTCCAGAAAATAGCATATTTGGATAAAGACAAAATAAAATGTCATTTCTTAAGGGAAATAAGAGCTGACTTTCATTACTGGAGAATTTATATACATTGTCTCTAATTTTTCAGAAGCCTCGTAACTAAACAGTCGTTAGGAAAAAGAGACAAGGTGAGGTCAGGTGTGGTCTAGTCTAAGACTAAAGAGCCCCGAAAGAGTAGAAACAGGTTGGACATCTGGTCTTGCCTGGATCCGATATCCATACTTGCTCTATAAGATAATATATTCTCCCAAAGAATATCTAAAGACAAATAAATAATACAGAGTAAAATATATAATTAATACTCCATGAGGATTTCATGAATATTTAATTGTAGTAATAGCACAATAATAATAATAGCTAACTATCACTATGAGCCAGGTAGCATTCAAAACTTCTGTGTATTATTTCATTTAATTATTACAACAAACCTATTAGGTAGAACTATGTTATATGCATTTGATACATGAAAACTAAAGAACAGAGATGTTAAACAACTCATCTAAGGTAAGTCATAGCTGGGATCTGAATGCAGGCACTCCAGTTCAACAACAGTGCACCTGTCTACCATATTCCCTTGCCTATCATTTCAGGAAGCATAATCATTTACAATGTTTTATTCCTATCTTCAACTGCTCTGAAGATTGTAGCTAGAGAAACCTGTACAGAGAGGAATCTGGTTAGTGCATACATCATGCCCTAGAATCCTAGAACCAGAAGTGATATCGAAGGCCATCTAGTTTAACTCCCTCATCCAAGACAAAAATCTCTCTGATCCTCTGTTCAGCCACCACATGAACACTTGCCTACTTCCCAAGGCAACACATTTAGCATAATTGTTAAAAATGGTGCAAAATTCTTTCTTATATTTAGCCAAAATACAGTGCAACTATTCTCTTGGTCCTATTTCTCTGAAGTTGGAATCACGTGCATTGAAAGAGCTCTCTTCGGCATCTTAGCTGTATTGCAGTTTCCACCAACCTCTCCTTACCAATCTTTAACTGAATAATTGTCACTATTCTCACCATTTTACTCTGCCAACATTTCTTTAAATTTTGAAAAGGTATGTGTTTAACTAGATGTATTTTTAACACAAAGTAGAATATAATCATCACCTCCATGATTTGACAAGAAAGTCAATTACTACAATGATGATTATAATAATTGAAATTGTCTCATGTTTTTTGTTTTGTTTTGTTTTGTTTTGTTTTTTTTCTTTTTGCTCAGTTTAGAATATACAGGAAAGTGAAGTTGGAGTTATTTCATATTGTTGGATCATGCTGAGCATGCTATCACCTAAAATCCTTAATCCTTTACTTTTATCAAAACATTTGTTAATCTTCATCCTGTAGTTATGTTGTTGTTTTTTTCTATAGATCCAAAAATAGTACTTTAGGCATTATCTCTATCCAATTTCATTTGACTAGATTTGGTTTGCCATTGTAAGCTATGAAAATAAAAAATTTTACATTTCATGAACTGTTTTGTTAGACAAGTCATTTTTACTTTCATTCAAGTCATATACCAGGGATAAGAAGCTCTTGTCTACCAACCTGGTGGACATCAATTAATCCTATAAATCTATTTGGATATAGCAGTTCAACTCATGAATTCATTCAACAAAACATTATTGAGTGTGTACTTTGTGACATGCGTTGTTCTTAGTACTGGAGATTCGGCAGTGAACAAAACTTACAAAGCCTTTATTCTCTACATCTTACATCCTAATAAATGGAGACAAACTATGAACAAATAAGAAAGCAAATGAAAAGTCAGAGAGCGACAAATAATATGCAGAAATTTGAAATAAGGTGATGGATAAGAGTGACTTCAGGGATGCTTTGGATTGAGCACTTGTAACAAGCGTGAGTTCACAACTCACATATGTCCTTTTGTTCATGATTTAGTGAAAGATATCACAAAAGCTAGAACTTGGAAGGCATTCAATAAATAAATGTCTGTTGTTTGAAGAAAACGCCTGATTTCCAGTTATCACTGGTTTTGTAAACATTCACAAACTAAACTTACAGGCTATAATTTTCAGAAATTATCTTCCATTTTTTGGGAAAAAAATGGAACATATGGCTTGCCTTTTTCCCCTGGTAAATCTCTCATTTCCCATTATTTACAATAGTTTTGCAATAGAAGTAGAAATTTCATCTGTTCTCAGACATAATTTATCTAGACCAGGAAATATGAACTTACTTAGAATTAGGTGATCTTTCTAGTTCCTCATCTATCTTAGGCTTTATGCAACTCTAAGACATATATAGGTTTTTCTTTTCAGTCTGAAAATCATTTTTGTTTTTATAAGAGATAATTTTAGGTGTACTATATTTCTTCTGGGCTCTTTGAACCACCTTCTAACTTGGGACATGTCTCTTCTTCAGTACTCCAAGGTTTCCAGGTGTCGAACCCAATTCATTGGTTCCCCTTCCTTTGTTTAAAATTACAAATCACTCTAGTTAAGGTAATTATAACTCGAATAAATAGACTGTAGTATTAGAGGCTGGAATCACCATCAACTAATCATAGAGGTAGATCTGACCAGTCTGACCCTGAATCTAGCGAAAAATTCTATGGTACTAATTGCATCTCTCCAATTTGTAATATATGCTTTCAAAAGTCAATAAAGATGTCTTAAATATCAGACAGGTGCACAGCAAAGTTTAGGTTTAAAAAAGAAAATGGTATTTTAGGAGATACGTTTATCAGAGTTAATTTTATTTATAGGCAGTGCTAGATATTGCCATATAAATCCTGGCTGTGATAGTGGGAATAGCAAGAACATATCCTTCTCCTACAGAAAATATTCCCCACCCCTATCTTATCCCCTGTTGCTGATACCTAAAATTCCATGACAGGCTCTAGTAATAAAGAGCCATGAGATCTCAAGGTGAACTATATGAGTTGCCTGGAGAATCAGGGATTACACTTTAAATAAAGGTGACTACCAGAACCTCAGATGGCACAGACAACAAAAAAAGAATTCTGGTGAAGAGGCTCCCTTTCTCTATGGCCAGGTTCTCCTGCCAGAAGCATCGATGAGCAGAGATGAGAGCATCGCTCCAAGCATACACTTCCTACTCTTCAGTGACTGAGTCGGAAGACGGAAGCTCAACTGCAGTCCTGACCCAAGTCACAGAGGGATATTTCATATTCTTTCCAACACCTTCTACCACTCTGGCAAGAACAGATGTTCAGCAAGTATTTGAGTTAAATGGAAGTTTTGAGTTGAAAATTATGCTGAGATTCAGAGAACATAGAAACCAAAATTTTAGTTCCTTACTACTGTTCAAGTCTTGGACATTAGAGATGCTCTTGCTTGTTCCCTTTTCAAGCATGCCTGAAGATATTTGCAGTGTGTTGAGTTCATGAAAGTCATCTTCCTTCAATTACCTGAACTTTCAAGATTTGAACTCATGACCTTGAATCCCTGTTGTTGTTTTTTAAAAGTATCTTCTTTGAATTAAACTGCACAGGTTCCACCCTCTCAATTAAAATGCAAATATTCCCCAAGGATGAAAATGAAGCTTTTGGCAATCCCTGACACTTGAGTGTAAATCATTGTTAAGATGAATCCAGAAAGCCTAGCTGGAGAGAAGCAAAGAGAATGGTTTGTACAGAGGTAGAAGCAACGAATAGCAGGGATGGAGAATCATGGAAAATCTACAATCCCCAGAAAGGTATCAAGAACTCTGTGGAGGTAGTAGAGTAAAAGACAGTGGAACAAACAGAAAAAAAAAAAAAAAAAACAAGAAGATATGTATGTATAGTTTCAGCCATTTTTACCACTTCACATATGGCTGGCTTTAATGATTGCTGAATGTTTGTTACTCTACCTAAAAAATATATACAGAAATATTTATCTTTGCCTTCACTGTTATAACCTCCCAGAGATAAGGTCATTTGCCTAAATTGTTGCAATAGCCTCTTAAGGTCTCCTTACTTCCTCTCTCACTCTCTTAGGGTCTGCTCTTAACACTGTAGCCAGCTAGATAAGACTGTCAGTTATCTATTCAAAAAACCTCGATTGCTTCCTGACCTACTCAAATTAAAAATTAAAGACTTAGAGGTGTCCTGCAAGATCTCACAGGCTTACAGTAGCTCCCAGTTACATCGCCTCTGATAACCTCAGCACCCCCTCTCTCACTCCGCTCTTGCCACACTGGCTCCCCTGTTCTTTGCATCTGCCAAGCACTCTCTGGCCTCAGGGATTTTTCCTGCCTATATTCTCTTATAAGCAATATCTCCTTGGATGACACCTTCTGAAAGAAGCCTATCTTGACAGCCCCATATTAATTTGTGACACCATCCCTTTCATTACCACATAAGACCTTCTAACATACATGAAAATGTACTTATTTGGGGAGGTGGATTATTGTTGATTGTTTCTGTTCCACCATAGAAGATAAACTTTCTATGAGCAGGCATTTTTGCTATTTTATTTGTTGCAATATATCCTTGCGGCTTTGAAAAGTACCTTGCACATAATAAGCACTCAGTAGATATTTATTGAATGAATGAGTGATTTGTTTGAACCCACACAAACTATTTTAGCTAATGGAGGTACATTTCATATTGCTCATTTTCCAGATAGCATATGGATTAGCAGAAATGGAGAAAGTTACATAGAGACTGTTGCCACCAAGTTCCAGTGTGATACATTTGGAAACACTTTGATGCCTTAAAGGAATGAGAGTTTATAAATAAAATACCAGCTAGAAGTTCATGAAATATCAAAAAGCTCCCAACTAATTCCTTAAATAAACTATGTTTCTAAATAACTTTAAGGCCAGCACAGGAATACCACCATCTTAGGTGAGTGGCAAAATGTATGGAAACTCATAATAACTCATAAATAAGGGCAAAGTATATTGAAACCCACATACAACTCTATGGATTAATTTTGTGATATTCAGGTTTTCCCAAGAGACTAAACTATCTCAGACAACATAAGTATTGATCAAAGGATAGCCTGAGCAGCATTCAGGGAAATGTTCATCCCATCTATAGCCATGGTTATATTGTAAAACAATATTCTTAACTCTATCTGATACTAAAATATATCAACTATATCAAACGAATACAAACATATTCAGAACCTTAAGACACAATCTATGAAAAAGAAACATTAAACACACTTTATACCTGAATTTAGCTCAGCATGCTCTACTGTTCCATTTTATTTTAATATCAAAGGCCAAACTTTGAACTAATGTCCTTCAAGTATTCATGTATTAATTTGATGGCCATTTGTATTCCAGGACCCCTTTTGGGGTCTGGCACAAAGTGAAACTGATCTAAATCTGAAGCTCTTTGATTTCAAAGATAGCCCTGTGCTCAGATTTGCACCAGAGTGGAAGGAGCAAGACAAGAAACAATCCATAAAGGCATATAAATTCTTTGATATCCCAAAGCCTTTGTCTACTTTCTCCTAATAACCTATAAAATAATCTTAGCAATTTAATAAAAACTAGTCAAACATCAAAAGAAACTGGAATAAGATTTATCTATTCCAGAACCCATTTTAATGATTTTTTTATACTCAAGTTACAATTTCTGCAAATAATAGTTTGCAATAAAAAAACCTGCAGCCTGATTTTTACCTGGAGAGATAATAGCAAGAAGAAAGGAAGAAATAAGTAGAAGAAGAATGGCATGTCTCAAAGAGTGACTATTTTTGCAGAAGTTATCTTGTGTTACCCATTATAAGGAACATATTTCTGTTCAAAGCAACAAATAAAAATAGATAAATTATAATTTCTTCATATTTTTATATTTTAATTTACCTCAAATATATCAAAAAAGTATTTAATATTAAGAACAGTAAGTGAGCTGTGGGAAAACAAGTCTCTAACAAACTTGATTTTATCAAAAGTCCCTCTAGGTCAATCCTCTTCCAACTCTCTCCAAAAACAGGACAAAACATGAACGAAGCAAAGGGAACCACAGAGTCCCTTGGAAGAAGCCTCTGGAGTACAATCACTCTTCACAAGGTAATGAATGATTTAAGTCTACAGCAGTATGGTTTAAAAAATAATTGTTAATAAATTCAGGAAATGGTGATGTTTAGATCACCAGTTTTTTTAATATACCACAAATGAATTCCATACTCACATTACATATTAAAATGATAATCACTAGGTCATTTTACCTCAAATAAATAAGATTTTCAAATTTAGAAATATTGTTTTAAAGTTTCTCTATTTCACTTGCTTTGAAAGTTTAAAATACAAGGACTTAATAATCTCTAATAATACATTTTAAAATGACATAAATAATGTATAAATTTATAATTCTTATCATTATTCCATAATAATTTCCTTCATCAAAATTATTAAAGATAAAATAATTAATATGATTTTTTGTTTGGTAACAATAAAGCATAGTAATAAAGAACACTGGTTCAAGAATCAGTAGACTTAAATTAATTATACACATCAACTCTGCCAGTACAAGATATATGACCCAGGCAAATTATTCACTGAATTTCAGTTTCTTAGAGTATAAAATGGAGAAAATAGTATTATCAATCTCATATGGTCATAAAAATTAATTGGCATAGTCCCTTTAATTAATTTTTAACTATTTTTACATAACTACTAGGATATTTCTTGATTCACAGAAAGCACTTGACTCCAATCACCATTAGTATTATCATAACTATTCAATGATAAGTTGATCTTCTCATGTCTCCACATACAGTCCCCTGGAATCATCTTCTGTATATTTGGTCAGATTATTAATACCAACTCTTTTTCTCTTCATTAAGATAAATCCTAAATATTTCAACAGGTCTGACATGCATAATAACTGTACCTCACAGTAATATTTGTATTATATCAAATTCAGCACACAATTATATATAACCTGTATTAAACTATGTTAATATTTCTTTATACTTGTTTTCTAGCTTTGTTGTAGATTTAATAACTCACTACAGCTTCTTCATATTATGTACATGTTTTTTTGTTTGTTTTTTTTAAGACAAAAATGTACCTTACTTTTCTTAAACACACACACAAGCACATAAACACACACATCTCAAAAAAGCCAGTGTAGCTGTGGGCATACAGTGGGTGTTTAATGCATGCTTTATAAGTTGAATTATATTGCAACATCATTAACAAGAGCATGTAGGTTGTTTATTTTTCCCATCTTAAGCTTATCATTCAAACCGAGTTGCACACAATCTCATGGAACTTAAAAGCTCTAAAACTTAAAAGCTCTAAAACTGTTATTTCATGCACCGACTAAAAATCCCAATTCCCTCTCAATACAAGCACTTTTATGTTATTTATATAACAATGACCAAATTCTGGGTGTATAATATCCACATTCTAAATTATTTGAGAATAGTTGAAAATCTGGCATGTTCAACAGCAGAGACGCCTTTCTCCAGAAGAAATTAACTCTATGGGTCACTCCTTCGAATACTTTCCTTCTCACATTAAAATAAATGTGTTTCACATCTCTGCCCAGTGGGTTGCTTCAGAGAATTTAAAAGCTATTATTTCTCCTTTCTTAATTCTGTTTCCTTATACCCAATCTGCCTCTTCTTTTTGTATTTCATAATTATTGTTTTTAGTGTTTATTACAAATCAAATCATTTTCACATATAAAGGAAATTTCTATTTCCATTTTCCCAATATGTATATAGCTAAACCCATATTGATTTAGCTTGAGGTATGAAAAACAATAAAGAAATCAACCTGGTAGAAGGCAAAAGAATTAATAATTATAAATGAATTAAGACAAAGGAAATAAAAAGTTTCCAAATTGACTTGGCAAGAATATGGACCTAGATCTAAGATAATATTCCACTTTATACTAATCCTGTCTGCTAGTCTATTAGTACAGGATATTTTGATGGATAATAGAGTCCATGTTATTAAATAATTAGAAATGTATCATATTCCCAAATCTCAAACTAGCTTCTTTAAATTTTATCTTTGGAATTAAAAATATAACACATATTATGCCTAAAGCTATAAATATAAGAAGTTATCATACGAGGAAGATTTGCAAAATCAAAGATTTTCACAGAAACATGCACAACTTTAAACAGATTATAATTCATCTCCCTGTTCAAATATACCAAATCTTAGCCCCACCCCACCCCCACCCTTGCACTTTCTCTAGTTCCTTATAGGAATAGAATAAATGACTTCCCCCCATGCAAAAAAAAAAAAGTTCTTTTGTATTTCAAGATAAGCATGCACCATGCAGCATGCACAAAATACCTTGGGTTTCTTATTTTCAGGGTCTGTTGACAAGGAAAATGCACAAGGTGAAATCAACTCCTTGGTTCTTGTTAGAGCGATGGGAGGTGAAGGAGTTGAAACCGTTGACCTGTGGTCGGATATTGAGCTTTCCAATTTCCCATGTCTTGAAGGCAAGGTACCACTGTCACAATTGGGGTGCAGTGCTGAACGACTGGGCTGGAGCGCCTGGGTGGGAAGATTAGCATGAGGGAGAGGGGAGGACCCCAGTTTGGGAAGAGAGGCAGAGCTAGTACTAGAGGCAGGAGGTGAGAGAGGAGCAGAAGGACTCTGCCCCTGGCCAGACAGCTGTGGTGATGCTTTCTGGGATCTGTGTATCAGGTTTGAAAGAGCTGGAGAAGGACGGAAACATTTCTCTGGAGAGGAAAGTGTGGCTCTTTGGTTAGTGGGAAGTGCAGAAGGTAACGTAGAGGAGGCTGATGCAGAAGGATCTGTGTAAATATTCCTGGGCTTTCCTGGACGCTTGATGTCAGTATCCTTTTTGCCCATCCAAGGAAAAGGAGAAAAGCTTGGTGGAACGGGAGGAAGAACTACAGGACTCGATGTATTTGTTTGTAGCAGGGACAGGGCAGGATTGCTCTTGAAAGATGTGGGTGATGATGTTTTCTCTGCATTGAAAGAAGAAAGACTACCACTTTCATGTTTTGTGGGAGAAAGGGGGGGTGCCTGAGAAAGGGGAGCAAATTGGGTGAAGAAGGGTACGTGAAAGGATGGCGGGCTAAATTCAGAGCCCTGGTGTTCTCTTTGCTCAGGAGACCCAGCTCTCAGGGAGCAACTGGAGAGAGATTTTTTAGGTGTGGATGGGGTTTGCTTTACTTTTTGATCAAGTGTGAGTGTGGACGAAGCCAGGGAGTTGAGAGAGAAAGTGGGACAGGATGCAGGAGAAAAGGGTCTCTGGTGAGAAGGCTTTGACTTGAGGATGGCAGTGAGAAGTGAAAGCCGGGAGGGCACCGGGGATTTCACCCCTGACTTGGAGAGATTTCCACTAGATGACACTGGGCTGCAGAGAGTAGATGAAGAGCCCTGGAGAGAGGAGGCGAATGGTTTTGGACTTGGAGAGAGTGAATGCATGACAATACGGACTGGTATGTACGAGGCTGAATTCGACTTCAGAGGAACACCAGAGGAGCGTGGAGAAGAGGTGCTCAGACTTTCTCTGGGGCTAAGGGCATGTGAGGCTAACGTCTTCTTCTTCAGGACTTCTGATGTCAGTCCAGGTTTTTTATCTGCTTCACTGGGATCGGGTACATTAGGACCTGATAACTGAGTGGAATGAGGAAACTGACGCGTTGAGGAGGTGCCCTTCGATGCAAAAAAGGGTGAAGAGTGAGCAGAAGTTTGAAAATACGTAGCTGTTTCTTCCACCAAGGCCCCACTGACATCCAGCCTCCTAGTGTGGAACTCCTCTAGCACAGAGGCTCCGCCGAGGTGAACTGGGTCAGGTGGTGTTTTCTGATTGGTTGGAGAAACAAAGGAGAAAGCAGGTGGTTTACAGGCAAGCTGCTCAGAGGTAGTGGGAGAAGAAGTTAACTAGAGGAAAGAGAAATAGATAGATTGTAATAGGACATTATTTGTGAAACTATCAAAATATTCTTGGCACTTGTGTGTTTATGTAGTCTTATTAGTTTACATGAAAAGAGGCACCTTAAACCTCCATAAAAATGGAAGAAATTCTGTTCCACTAATGAGGCATTGTTTTGAATTTGAAATAAAGTGTAAATAAACTGTGAAGTATTATATACAATAGCTCATTTATTCCTCAGAATGAGCATCAATATTAAATTGTATTTGCTTATTTCATTTAGAAAATAATTCATTGACAAAATTTAAAAGAGTTATCTTAATTTGGAATTGTGGGATTTGAAAAGATTTAAGTCATCATCAGAATAAATTTCCAAATTCATCTTAGAAAATAAAATAGATTTTCTTCCATTGTAAGAATATAAACCATAATGTAATAATAATGACTACAACTCTTAAAAATTTTAACATCAAAATTTGAGGTTCTAAAAATCTGGACTACTGCTATATACTGTGAACCTAAACAAATACCCACAATTCAAAAGATGCAGCACCCAATGTCAACATACAATGATAAATAGAGGGTGAAAACAAAGTCCAAAACAGAGGGAATTGTAGCTTAAAAAAATATGTTCCCTAATTACTTGCCAGGATGAACATACAACAAAGAACTGGTTACCCTGAAAGGCATACGTATCCTTCCCTGTCAAAGGAATCCAGAGTACTTTACAAATGTAATCTGCCTTAAACAATGCAACCCATCAATTCCACATAAAATGAAAAGAAAATACAGAAATTATGTATCACTGTCAAGACAGCTAGGGATCCTGTTAAAGAACAAGGTGTAGGTATTCTTGTGCTATTCTAAAAATCACCCAGTTCTTAAAGACAAATACTGAAATTATAAGTGATTCTAGAGTCAAATCTTTTAAACAGAGGTTTTCTTTCAAAATTATTTATTTGATTCTATCAATCCATAATAGAAAGGAAGCTACTTATAGCTAATAAAAAATTTAGGGAATTAATAAATATTTATTAAGCGATTTTGCAGGTATATATTTGCCATGTTACATAGCAGGAAATGTATGATTATAATATTTAAACTTAATAAAAGGTTGATTTACAAATTCAGTAAAAGATATTCCTTGGTTTTATTTAAGGTGTCCATGAGCTCTAATGTAAAGATTTTCATATCATATAGTTTTGAGTTTAAAAAATATTTAAAACTAATAAATTCAAACAACTCACCCCAAACTTTCACGCTTCTGTGCAAATATACCCAAAATATTCACTTATTTTTATATATAAATTATGTGTGTATTTGCAACACAGAATTCTTGGCACAATAAATAATACTTGAGTACGTGGTCATAACCCAGAATATCAAAAATGAGGGATAATTGAAAAAAATCAAGCAGAGTTAAATCAAATTGAGAAAGAAAGCTTAAAAATGTCCTCACATAAGTTTTACTTAGAAACAGTTCTGCTTAGCCAGTAGTTGTAGAATTGTTTCATATTATTAGTCATAAATGAAAAATCTTCTCTTATTGTTTCTAAAGATGGCCTCTTTTCATAGAAGGAATGAAGAAATTTCAAGACCCGGTAGGGTGACTTTTCATGCTGTGCCATAGCTTTCTGGTAAAGAATTTTATAAAATAATCCTGGACCCCCAAAATCCCATAATCTTTTCAGTCATCTTTTCAAATAACTTCCATTTACATGACAAACTCATTTATTCATCCTGTTTATCCACCAAATTGTCATGTTAAAATCATAGGTCTATAATTTTGAGGGTCACATTCAGAGAAAAAGACTGTTCCCTCAAACTTCTTCAAGAGTATTGATTCTAATTACCAAATTTTCTACTAGATTAAGTCATATTTTATCTAATATAAGTAATTCAGAATTTTATTGTACTTTTTAATAGTTAATTTTGAAGAACTTCTAAGGAAAAAAACCTGAAAAATCTAAGAATGGTTACTGTTTATGTTAATCTACAGTTTAATAGTTTTTCTATTTAACATATTAATAAGTATTTGTAATATATTAATTTCTAATTTGCAAACACATTCTGATGTTATTCTAATTTATACTAATATAAAATGTGGCACCATAGTACTATAAAATTCCCAAGAGTGAAGAACACATTTTTTAATGAAAAATATTCATTGTCCTGAGTTCCTCTCATCAATAAGTTTTTAAAAGGAGGAGCTATGCAGAACTGATTTTATGCAGAAAGAAAGAATGTCAACTGCTTAATCAAGTAGCCCAGACTTTATTTTACCTCTTCCTTGTAAATCCCTTACTTCTCTATTGATATCTATAAATTATTTCCATCCCTTCATTCTTTTTCATTAATAACTACTCATGCTATTTGTTACTAGGTTTATTACTGATACTCTAATTCCTTCTCCCTCAAACCAGTTCTTCTCCACTATTTCAAACCTGATCTTTGTTGATTCCTTTGTTTCAAACACCTCTCTGAGCTACCCCTTACTATGTACTCCAATCCCAACTCTTCCTCTGATTCCTTGATACCTCTTACTACACACATCCTCCAAAGTCATTCCCAAAACTCTCTTTTCCTAGAAAGACTATCCTGAACTCTGGAATACATTCCCAATAATCTCAGTAACAGAGGATACTTGTGATGTTCAGCTGTCATCAAGTGGGTCATAAATCCACCTTTTCATCCTATATAACAGCAATCATCAGTTTTTTAACAACCAATCTCTATTTTGGAGCTGCCTTGTAATTTTAGTCTATCTAAATTAACTTCTCCTATATATATTCATTTCCCCCCTTAATATGTCTATAAGATTCCAAAGCATCCAAATAAAAGCTAGAGTGATTGATCTGCTGCTACTTGATGTTCTAAATAGTTACTGAGATTTGGACAGCACCAGATGTTGGTCCCATATATTTGTGCTTTTCTTCCTGAATCTGTATAGTCATGCAACGCAGAAACTCTAGATTCCCCTCTGCTTTCACAAACAACATGACATTATAGCAAGTTGGCCTCCTACACTTACCTGGTGGTCAGTTCTATTCTCACTGATGGACACTCATTATGTCACTGGGCAGATATTCAGCCTTTCTTACTTGAACATTTAAATAATATTTCTTGTATTCTTACCTCTAGTTGCACCCCATTAGACCTATCATCAGATTGATCATTTCCAATCTGTTCAAAATATATCTATGCTCGCTGACTTCCGGTCAAGATGGCAGCCTAGGTAAACGCGGTATTACGTCCTCCCACAACCACATCAAAGTTACAACTAAACTACAGAACAACCATCATTCAAAACCGCCTGAAATCAAGCTGAATGGAAGTCCTACAACTACAGAATTAAAGCAGCAGCCACATACCGACTGGTAGGAGGGGCAAGGAAGACGGGCTGGTCCCACACCCACGTGTGGTGGATAAAAATCAGGAGGATACCTCGGCTGGGAAGGTCCTCCCTGAGGACTGAAGGGTCCCAGTCCCACACCAGATGCCCCGTTCAGGGTTCCAGTGCCAGGAAAAGAAGTCCCCATAACTTCTGGCTGGAAAAACCAGTGGGAACTCAGTCTCAGGGAAGCTGACCCTGCTGGAGCCTCAGGCAGCTCCTTAAAGGGCCCATGCAAGGACTTATCACACTCACTTCCTCTAAGCTTGGAGGAGAGGCAGCTCGAGGAGCACCAGAGACATACAGGGAAGAACTGAGCTGGTTGGCACTGGAGCGAGGGCTGGAGAGGAAGCTTTCTCCAAGACAAACGTGCTGTCAGAGGCCTTTGTTCCTTTGGTGAGCCCTTCCCTGGGGCGGCAGACAGTCGCCATATCTGGGACTCCAGCAACCTGGCTCACACTGGTAGCCCCGCCCCACCCAACTTTCAAGCCCACCCAAGCTGTTGCCAGTTGCTTAACCATAGGATTGGCCTGTCTTGGATCCTGCTTCAGGTTTTCCTAAATTCTTTCAAACAAGCAGCATCCTGGTCTCAGATAGCCCCATACTTCTCGTTAAGTAATACACAGAAACAAACACAGGGAAGCAGCCAAAATGAGTAGACAAAGAAACAGGTCCCAAATGAAAGAACAGGACAAAACCCCAAGAAAAGAACTAAGCGAAATGGAGATAAGCAACCTATCAGATGCTGAGTTCAAAATACTGCTTATAAGGATACTCAATGAACTCAGTGAGAATCTCAGTGAACTTAGTGAGGGCCTCAAAAGCATAAAAAAGGGCCAGTCAGAAGTGAAGGAGGCATTAACTGAAATAAAAAATAATTTACACAGATTCAATAGTAGAGTACGTAAATCCAAGAAGCAAACCATCGATTTGAAATTAAGAAAGCAAAAAACGCCCAATCAAAACAGCAAAAAGAAAAAAGAATCCAAAAAAATGAGGATAGTGTAAGGAAACTCTGGGACAACTTCAAGCGTGCCAACATTCGCATCCTGGGGTGCCAGAAGGAGAAGAGAGAGAACAAGAAATCGAAAACCTGTTTGAAACAATAATGGCAGAAAACTTTCCTAACTTGGTGAAGGAAACAGACATACAAGTCCAGGAAGCACAGAGAGTCCCAAACAAGATGAACCCCAAGAGGCACACACCAAGACACATCATCATCAAAATGCAAAAGTTTTAAGACAAAGAGAGAATCTTAAAAGCAGCAAGAGAAAGGCAGCTAGTTACCTACAAGGGAATTCCCATAAGGCTGTCAGCTGATTTCTCAAAAGAAACTTTGCAGGCCAGAAGGAAGTGACAAGAAATATTTAGAGTGATGAAAAACAAGAACCTACAACCAAGATTACTCTATCCTGCAAAGCTGTCCTTTAGAATCGATGGCCATATAAAGAGTTTCCCAGACAAGAAAAAGTTAAAGGAGTTCATCACCACCAAACCGTTATTATATAAAATGATGAAGGGTCTTTTTGAGGAAAAAGATAAGATATATGAACAAACAAAATGCAATGAATACATATCTATCGACAATGGAATCTACAAACAAAATGAACAGGCAGA